ATATGATGAAGGCGTAATAACTTTATCATTGTGAAGATGCTCTTGGGGTGACAAAGTGATTTCCAAAACGTGTTATTCACGTGGTGTTTTTACGATATTGCATAGATAGACGTCGCTGTCATTCTAAGATTGCTTCTGAATGAAAATTTAAAATCTTGAAAATAAGCGTTCCTTAAGTTACCTTTCTGAAAGAAAGTTTTTGCTTTTGTTGACATTACGTGTAAGATGCTCATTTATTTCTGAGTATTTTGATTAATTTAAAGAGTAATTTGTCAAAATCCCATTATGTAAACCTACGAATTCACGATATATGAAATTAATCTGTGTGATAAAGGATGTTGCATGTATATAACCAATTCATCAAAAATCTTGATTCTTTCAAAACAGAATCCTTATGGATATAATGCGTTCTTTGAATATATCTTATTTTATGTTATGTAACATAAAAATTCTCACATATTTACACGCTGCCACTAGAGTATTGAGGTTATGATTGTCCTGCATTTTCTTCTTATGCAAACGAATATGTAAAGTTTTTTATATAGAGAAATCTTATGAGAGGTTTTGTGGTAAAAGATTATGTTAGTTTTTCTTTAAAAAGCACATTACATGATTATGTAACATTGTTTTTGAATAGCTAACTACGTGGGAAGCACACTAATTTGTAATTAAGTAAGGGTTTCTTATAATGATAAAAAAAATTATATTATCAAATAGCTATGTAATTTGTTCATAACATCGAAGCCATGAAACACAATTTCGAAACGTTTCCATAAAATACGAAAGCCGGGTCGGAACATTCCGACTTCTGACTTCCACTTTTTTCTTCAATTCCGACTTTTAAGTTCTATTTGCTTCTAGTTCCGACTTCTGAGGTTTTTAGTCGGAAGTAAAAAAAAACCCTTGAAAATCGGAAGTCGGAATGTTGCGACCCGGCTTACGTAATTACGAATAAAACCATGTTGCATCAAATAGTTCCTGTTGTGATCCTTTTCCACCAATGTAAAATTTATTTCTATTGACAATCCAATTTCTTATTTTAATTATTCAGAATCACACTACATCTGTGTCCATTTTGTTGTTCATCTATCGTGATCAATTTTGTCATTTTCAATCAAGATACATCAATGCTAATGTAGCAGAATAATTAATTTTTGGATTTTTAATAATGCAACAAGACTTTCATGACAATCATAGAACACAATCAGCTGAAATTAAATTACATCCTTATTTTTAGCCAATAAATCAGATAGACATGAGAGCTAAATGACTGTTAATGTGACGAAACGTAGATGATATCTGGTGCTTGTAGTTGAAATGTTATTTTTTTTTGTAGTAAAGGACAATACAACTTTTCGCAGTTACATTTTGCAGTTAACAAAGTAAGGAAATTTGGTTAGTATTTGAATGTGGTCGTCATATTTGTGCTGTAGACAGTCAACACCATGGAATTTCAGGAAATTCTGCAATGTCGTTGCTGTTTAAAGGAAAATACATTACTAGTAACGCCAATTAAAATACGAACACTTGACAACGAACTGTAAGAAATACAATGAAAGTTTTACGTTTTAATGGATAGCATGTACTGAGTACGCAGCACCCATCGTCCCTTCAAGCGTCATCTCCTCAAACCTGCGACCAACAGGCGTAAACTGGGTTGAAATATCCAAAGGCCAAAAGGTTAGCAAGAGTCTTTGTCCCCGAGCCAATCGGTTTCCAACGGCGAGTAAAAAAACTTGCAAGTTATTGAGGAGACCTTGAGATAAAAACACATAATAAATTGTTCAAGAAAAAATGAGATTGATATGTGAGAGCTATTTTTTATTCGCAAGGTCAAAAAGAACAGCAAAATAATCGATATAAAATAAAGAAAAGAAAAAATATAGTTATGTTTAAAATTGAGAATTTAATGTATACGATCACATCATAATTGGGATAATAACTGTGTGTAAGAACGTTAAAAAACTCCTGGAAGTGTCAGCTGTCTACTCAACATCCACATATTTGTTGAATGGTTGTATTTTGTGTCAACTTCTATATACTCCATAACTCACAAAAAGGTACTATCTTAATACACTTCTCCTTTTTGTATTCAAAATATCATTTTATAATCATTGTTTCTAAACTTTGTTTAAAATTTATTGCAGATCTTATCAGCGTGCTCGATATTTTGAATTGTTCTTGTGAAGCTGTAAACACTACTAGCACATAACATGTTTGAACTCGGAAACAATTAGGATAATCTTGGTTGATTTTTTACTATAGGAAGGTATTTATTCTGATTCTTTAGAGAATAATGTGATAAGTTGATCAGTTGATTGATCACATTCACAGTTGGATTAACCATATTACCGACACAACATAAAAATGGTTTTGATAATAGGATTGTTTTTGAAACCCCTGGGGTGGATGTTAATCGTCTTTATTATAAACATACTTAGATTGGTTGTACTTATAATGGTAAGGCAACATGACTGGCTGTCTGAAACGTTAAAAATTGGTTACAACCGCAAATATACATCTTATTGCATCGTACCAATATAATGGAACCTCTTTTACGATGATTATGATGGTATTTATCCTCAAAAACATCCAGGGCACCATATATATTATTGTAAATGCCAAACGTCAACGCTCCATTAATTTCTGACAGGTTAACAATATACAGCAATAAGGGTCAGCTTTTGTTCCGAACGACTAGAAGCTTTTCTATTTCATTTTCAAATCGGTCCAAAGCACCTTTTATTCAGCAACGATGACAGCAAAGATGGAATGCTGCAAACTCATGTCATCAAGTCTCTTTCAGGAGACTACCTCGCCTCCTATTGTGCCAACAGGATAAATGAAGATGTGTCGCTCTCGTCTTGGTCATACTCACCTTACCAACTGTTTTCTGCTTAAGCGAGAGCCTCAACCTGTCTGTGAACACCACCAGAAGTGCGAAAAGGATGTATCAATGTACTTGTAATTAATTTCAGTTTAAACTTGAATAATCATATCAAACACAATAAATAAATAGTAATCAGAATCTACACAACCTTGTTTTGTATAAAGAATTACTTAATTCTGGATAAATGTTTACAGTAAATAGGTGGAATATTGTTTTGTCTTCGCAGAAGCCAGGTTTGGAGATGGGTGGTGGGACTAATTTAGATAGAAAAGACGTTGAGTTTGATCGTTAATTATTTTATAATAATTTTGACTGTACTGTCAAAGCGAGATTCGATATAAAGGACTTTGTGAGAGGTACTTCTTGGCAGACCAGTGATTGTTCTAATAGCGTCAAGGTAGAGGGATTCCAAGATGTCAGGTTTTTCTTTGCTGCAGTTATTCCATAGACAGTCGGCATATTCAAAAAGTGGCAGGATAAAGTTTTTGGAGATTATTTCTAAGGTTTAACGTTTTAATCTGTATTTAAAAGTTCGAAAACAATTTACAATTTTACTGATTTTAGGAATTATTAAAAGCAAGATGGTCGTTATATATTTACGGACACACAGACAGACGCACAGACAGACAGGGGCAACGGCTATATAGTGTTTATCCTTGGGTGATTACAAACACTCACACCAAATTTTGGCAAAATCCACCAAGAAACCAGCTCGCTATCGTGTCCACAAACAATTCAAGAACAAGGGCAGTAACTCATAGTAAATATTTTTCGACTTATCTGATTTTCAATAGGGTTCATCCTTGGGTGATTACAAACACTCACAACATGTTTCGTCAAAATCCACCAAAAAACCAGCTCTCTATCGTGTCCACAAACAATTCAAGAACAAGGACAATAACTCATAGTAAATATTTTTCGATTCGCCTGATTTTCAATAGGGTTCATCCTCCAAGTTTCGTCAAAAAAAAACAATTGTGGACAGACAGACAGACAGAGAGGGGCGAAGACTATATACTGTATTCATTAATGTGTGGGCGTATAAACAGTCTACAAAGAGGAGTACTTAGAGCACGAGCTGATGCTTTGAGAATGTAGTTGTTAATGTGATCGGGCCCAGAAGATTTCTTTGGAGATAAAGACGGGAGTATATTTTCTACAATATCTTCAGATATTGTAGACTCGAAACTTCTGTGCAACTTGGATAAAGTTTAGAAAGAGGATCGAGATTGTCAGAGAGTGACGACTGAGAGAAAAAGAAATCATTTAGCGCATCAACCTTTTCTTTGTTATCAAATAGAATCTTATCAATTTGGGTAAGAGGAGGGATTCTGATTGTAGCACTGTACCACTCTACATCTCTTGATCTTATAGTTACCAAATTGTGAGACGTGTATTGCTTGGATAATACAGCCAGTTACTTTATGGGCTAAAGTTGCGGGATCAGTTGTATTAGAATATATGCAGTCCCAGGCTTCAATTTGAAATTCTTTGTAAGACTAAATGATTCGTTTATAACAGGTTTGTTTAGGAGGTGAAAGGTTTACTTCTATTGAGATAGTAAAATGGTCACTAATTTGGGGGTTACATGCTAGAACTTGTGACTTTTTCACAAAGTCTGGGCAGTTCACTATGGCGAGGTCAATAATTGTGGCCGTTTCGGTCGTAACATGGTTAGTAGTATATGTCTCTTCGGATATGACGCATTTCACTTCTGCGCATGTGCAGCTTTTTCAATGCATCATATCCGAAAAGACACAACTGTTAAAATGTATTATAACAGACTCCCCAAACTGTATTATAACAAACTCCATATAAATTACCCAAACCACAGACAAGAATCACTAATAATAATACAGTATAAAATAACCGCATTAAAAATGTCTTTAATTTTAAAACACGAAAAAAAAATTCGAAGGAGACGGTTTCTTCTCTGCGCTAACATCTCTCATCCCCAAAGTGGCCAATTTTGTCTCAAACAACAAATTTCCTCAGGAGTAGATGCAGTGAAAAGATCTAATGATTCATTTCTATCGCTTGAATAGTTTTCTCCTTGTATTAAATCTTTCGTATTAAAAATATATAGTGTTTATTTCATTATTGAACAAATATGTCTTTAATACATGTCCATCCTCCTAAAACGTATTTCGGTGCGGGAGACATTCAAAAGTCATTGGGTTCTCACCCTGGATTCCCATGGGCAAAATATCCCGGAGAAAAACATCTCCCAGGCCACAATTATACAGGTCCAGGCACGAGATTAGATCTGCGTTTAGACGAAAATGATATTCCCAAACCAGGGGAAGAACCCGTTAATAGAGTTGACGCAGCAGCGCTCAAACACGACATACTGTACAGAAATAAAGACGTAACATTCAGACACCAAGCAGACAAACAAATGATAGACGAACTCGAAAATATTCCCAATCCCACTTTCAAAGAGAAATTACAAAGGGCTCTTATCGTAAAACTCTTGAAGGCAAAATTGAAATTGGGTATGGGCATAGCAGACGAGATTCACAAAGAATTTCGAAAAAACAAACCTTACCTCAAAGTCAAAGTTTTTGATAAAGATGAAATTTGGTCAGCCGATTTAATCAACATGCCAGTCGAGAGGGTACAAGTATTGTTTGACGGTGATCGACATATACACGAGATACGCTAGGGTCTTTCCCTTGAAAAACAAATCGGGTCTGACTGTCAAACAAGCATTCGAAACCATAATGAAACAATCCGACAGACGACCCCTAAAGTTGTGGGTTGATATAGGGAGCGAATTCTACAACAGAAATGTGAAATCTCTGGGATTTGAAATTTACAGCACGCATAACGAAGGTAAAGCCGTAGTGATAGAAAGATTCAACAGGACTCTTAAAAGCAAATTATTCAAGAAATTCACGGAATTGAAATCTCAAAAATGGCTTAAAATATTACCAGTTGTTGTCGACGAATACAATAACAAAATACATTCGTCTATAGGTGTGACGCCAACGCAAGCCTCTAATAACCCAAATATCATAAAGTCCGTCAACACTCGAAACAACTTTGAAAACGAGATTAGCAATTTGAATATTAAACCCAAATTCAAAGTTGGAGATCGAGTTCGTATTTTTAAATATAAATCATTGTTTCAGAAAGGTTACGTCGGCTATTGGACTAACGAGATATTCATCGTTGATAAAGTAAACAACACATCACCCCCCACGTATGAATTGATCGATCAAGACAAAGAACAAATCATAGGAAGGTTTTATCAAAATGAACTTCAAAAAACTGACTTTTAAAAATGAATCTCGAAAATGAAGATTTAGATGAAAGGTTAAGAAATTTAGATGTCGACAAGCATTTACGCTCTCTTAAATTAAGATTTTTTAAATTTAAATGTAAATTTATCTTCAAAATATTATTGAATGTGTTTTATCAGAATGTTATACAAGTTTTTTCAAACACAAACTACGTATATATTTCGTCATTTGGGTCTTCAGCAATACTTTCAAACTTAAAAAATGAATGCATTTCTCGATAAATACGGAAAAGACACGACTACAAATTTTCAACTTGTGAAATGGGCCAAGGAGTTGAACGTCTCGCCGTTTTATTATTGCATGCGAGATGAAATTGATGAACTGAAATACAAGAAAGGTAAATTTTACGCCATCACAAATATTCACACGTCGGATCAAAAAGGAGTTCATCACTCTGCTCTACACAAAGATTCTTCGAATAACTTTTATTTCTTTGATTCTTTCGGTCTAGAACCGACAGAAGAGATAACGAAATTGACTAGTAAACCAATCAAATGTTCTACGTTTCAAATTCAAATGCCAGGACAAAAGCTGTGTGGACAGCTGTCGCTTTGGGTTTTATATCGGTTGAGTTTGGGAGAAAAGTTTGAAGAAATTATAATAAATTTAACTCAATAAAAATGGCAAACAAGTTTGGATTAGGGTCTTTACCTCTAGAATCTAAAAATCCCATGACGGCGTTTATAAACAAAGCGAAAGCTTTTTTCGTGGATCAAATCGGAGACACCTTACAAGGGGATATCGATATGAACAATTTCAAAATAACTAATTTAAAGTTTCCAGGAAACGATAACGATGCCGTGAACAAGAAATATTTACTGGATCAAATAAATGCAATTCAAATAGATAAGGACCATGTTGAAAATAGAATAAATGACGTGAAGAAATACTTCAGACGAAATATTAAAAACCTTGTGAACGAACCCAAACTACAACAAGAGTTAACGAGTTTGAAACGTCTTATTCAAGTGGATAAAACAAGTCAGTTGAATATCTAAATTAGACGATAAGATTACGAAGGTAAAAATAGACGTCCAACGTTTAATAGACAACCCAAATGTAAACGAGGATAGATTGAAACGAAAACTAACCGCTTTGGAAAGAAAACTTGGTGAATTGCTAGCAGAACTAGACAAGACCGCGGACAAAACCGAGTTACAAAATTCGATATCCAATTTGAACGAAAAGATCGCGAAGCAAAAATCAGATGTTCAAGATATAATTAACACACTTCCCATTGACAAAGATACGTTGAAACAACAATTGACTGCTTTGGATACTAAAATCACGGACGAATTAGAAAAAGAAGTGGGTGTGATTAAAAACTTTCTTCAAAATAAATTTCGAGATGATATGAAAATTTATATTAAAGAACAGGTCAATCTTTTGGTATCTAGAATTCATGACGATCTTTTGAGACAAGAGAGAAAGTTGAGCAAATTAGAAGCTATTGTCACGGACAAATCGTATTATTTCAATCTTCCATTCGAAAGTGACACTGTCTTCGATAGAAAAGACCAAATTTATAAATCAAACAAATACGGATTCAAAGCAGAAATAAAAGTGGGTTCTCTCGCATACGGAGAACCTAAAAACCTATTCGATATCGGCGAAACGGAAGTGTTTACTTTTCGAGGTAATTGTCTGATTCAAATAGAGTTTCCCATGAAGGTTAAAGTCAATAAAGTAGTCTTCAAACAAACCGGTAATGCCGTCAAACATATTTCATGATGGTAATTTGGAAGAGAATATACGTTTGATTGATAAAAGAGTTCAGGAAATTGAAACGAAAAATGGTAAATATTTAGACACCTTTAAAATGGAAGTAGAAAATGATAAGGATATCATTGGAATCAAAGATTTAGATATGATATTGGAGACGGAAAATCCACCATCAACCAACATTGTCAAAGTTCCACCATCACTTATAATACCCGGACCAATAGAATCGGGCAGTCACGAGTTTTTACGAACAACAGACTTTGAATACGTAAAACTGTATTTTGTTTTAGGTGGAAAATACACCTCGATCGATGTTCATAAAAGTCAACAAGAAAGAGAGTTTATAGTACATTTATCGTTTGCCGAAGGTTCCGACTCCATCCTTGAAGGTGGTGGTTTTATTTCTAGAGCCAAGATAAACATCGAAAAAGAAAAAAGAAAATATTCCTATCATCTTAACGAGGACCATACGAAAAAAAAAATGCCGTTAGTACGCGTAAATGTTTTTACTTTTAATACCCGCAAATATAATAATGCTAGGCCAAACAAGCACGCTCTATATGATATTCCGTGGTTCCATTTGTCGGAAATTCACTTAATTTAACGACTTAAAAAATGGAACTCGAAAGCAGACAACAATACATGATAGACAAACAAGAAGAGTTGAAAATAAAGTTGAGACAGTACAATTCATGCAGGAAAACATGGAGTAGAATCGATTCTTTTTTCAAAACAGCGAGCACAGTTCTAACGATAGGAGTAACGGTGGCAACGGCCGTGACTGGTGGATTAATGCTTCCGGTCATCGTCCCAACCGTATTGGCTGCATTAACAGCCGTTCAAACGACTTCTTGCGGTCTCATCACTTTAGGTTTCACGAGTAAAAAGAAAGCTCATTATAAAAAGAAAACGGATATCTTGAATATGTATCTTAATCAATTGTTCATCCTTTTTGAAAGATCGAGAGAAGACAAGAACATAACAGTTGAAGAATTACAAGAATTCAATGAAATTTTGGATTCCATACAGAATTATCAGCGGTCAAAATAAAGAAATAATCAAAAATATATACTTAAAAAAATATGAATAAAATCGAACTTGATGAAACATTGAGAGAAAACGCCCTATTTTCCGATGTTATCAAGGCTATCTCTGATAAATTTAAAACATTCAAAGGCCAAATTAAAATAGATGGATCTAGTCGAGGAAGGGAATCACAGACAATACATGTCACTCCTCGGTTTCAATGCCAAAACCTTTCACAATATCTTTTCAAATATGGACAAAAAATCCGATGCTTCCGATTGGTATTTTACAGGAAAAATAATTTTAAATTTGAATTTCCAAGAAATAAAAAGATCGAGAGTTGGCAGAGGAGGAACTGATCTGCTTAAAAAGATCAATGAATACGAAGGCGAAAATTGTTACATACCTACAGATGGTCACTGTTTTATCAAATGCGTCAATCGTGTTTTGAACAAAGATTTAACGTGTAAATTTCAAGAATACATCAACGGGTTTTCAAAAGCAAATAGAAAAGGAGTGATGACTTGTGCTAGAATGAATGAATTCAACAAGAAATTTAACACTTCGTTTCAAATTTATAATCCCAAAAACAGACATTTTCACCCCAGAGACGTTCACGGTGAATTAGATTGGGTTTTGTACTTACACAACTCGCATTTCTGTTTGATTAGAAGAAGCCAAAAAAGTTTGGGAATTGAAGAAATAGAAGGCAATTACGAACAGTTGTGGAAAACGTGTAGAGATGACAACGCAGTAACACAGGTTTCACCCCTCAAACTAAACGTGCTTTCGAGTATGAGTGATGATGCGTTATTCGCTTGGGATTGCGAAACGTATTCAGAAAAAGACACGCGAAGAGCAATTCCTTTTGCCTGCACTTTAATTAATTTAGAAAAACTAAGGAAAATGTTAAACAGAATAAATAATCTCTTTCCAGATTTAAAGTCATCAGATCCCATTCCAGAAGAATTTTAGGATAAACTAATGAATGTAGTAGAAATATTTGTAGGTACAGATTGCATCGATCAAATGTTGAAATATTTAGGTCAATATGATAGAAAGAGATTAATATTAATTTCTCATAACGGCAGTGGATTCGACAACTGGATCGTGCTTAAAAATGCAAAAAAACTAACGCATTGCCCTTTAAAAACACCCAGAGGAATTCTATCTTTTCCTTTATCTAATCCATATAAAGATGAAGATTTACAGAAAAAATGGAAAAGACAGAAAGAAATAAAGGGTAATTATTTACAACATATTAATTTCACGTGTTCCTATCAACACGAATCCTCTAGTTTGGCTGCATGGGGAAATTCTTCCAATCTTCCCGCGAATTTGAGAAAGATTGCCGACGTAGATATCGCTAAATACACGCAAGACAACTGGGAGGAATTGAGACACGAATGGGAACCTTACGCCAAGAGAGACACTCTCTGTTTGGGAGCTTGTTTGATAAAATACAACCAAGTGACGAAAGAAGTTGTAAACCAGAATATGTCCAATAATCTAACGGCTCCATCTTTATCTTTAAAGGGTTGGTATTATTTATATCATTACGATAAAGAAATGGTGGAAGAAGAATGGTATGAAACTACTAGAATGGTTGCGAAACATACCGAAAAAGAAAATATAGAAAAAGTTTATTCGCACACTAATCCTTTTATAAGAAATTTTATCAGACGATCTATTAAAGGAGGAAGAGTTTCGGCAAATAGAAAATCATTTGAAACGAACAAAATGGATGAAATTTGTAACGTATTAAAGGAATATATTTCACAAACACGAAGTAATAACATAATTGATTTATTCAAAGAATACAGCGCAAGCACAAAAGACAAAACGGAGGTTCATTTGAGACTTAAAAAAATAGAATGTACTAAACTAATGGCATTTGATGCTACCGGTTTATACGCTTCCGCCATGTCGGATTTAGACAGTGAATATCCGAGAGCGGAAAGTGGAAGACCGTTTCTACCAGAAAAAGAAAAAGAATTTGTAAAACTCTTCAATAAACAAAAATTCAGACCTAGAACGGCTATTTTAACAGTGTGGTTTGACTATCCCAAAAACATGTTCTTCCAACCGATACCAGCTAAAGATAAAATCACTTTCACGAATAAAGAAGGTAAAAAGGAAACGGGTAACAAAATCAGGTTCAGAAATGGTTTCTGTCACGACGTTTTAACATCGGTCGATATTCAAGAAATAGTGAAAGCCGGTGGACGAATTATTAGAATATTAGATGGTATAGTTTACGAAGAAAATTTTAAAACTCCACCCAATAGAGATTATATTTTAATTTTGAGAGATTTAAGAAATAAATATAAACGAGAAGGTAATATCGTGGGTAGTAATTGCATGAAATTATTAGGTAATTCCTTGTATGGTAAATCAATTCAGAAAGATATATTCACAACTAGACATTTATGGAATGAAGCAACTTTACAGGCCAACTTTGATTCACGCGTTAAACCTATGAGAAAATTAATGATACTCAATATATTGTTGAAACAGAAATTGAAGAAAAAGAGATTACTACCGAAGATAGTAAATCTACACGACTAACAACTAGTCATTTGGGATCATTCGTTTTATCTCACAGTAAAAAAATAATGAACAATTTCATTCACGTCATAAATGGATTTTATAAACCCGAAATATACTATACCGACACCGATAGTTTGTACATTTCATCCAAAAATTGGAAAAAACTAAACAGAGCTGGTTTGGTCTCCGAAAAAGACTATTGCAAAGGTAAAAACGATTACGGTGACGGTGGAATTATATTTGGTTTATATTTAGCACTAAAAGTCAAATACAACATCGTTTTGACTTCTGATGGTGTCTTAAAAGAAAAGAAAACGTTTAAAGGTTATTCTAATGATAAGATAAGTGTAGAAGATTACGTTCAGTTAGCAAGCGGACATGATGTGTCGAACGAATTTAATAAACCATGGGAAAAAAGTTTCACCAATAGAGTAGTTATTCCAAATGATAAACAAACTAAAGTTTTTAGAAGTTATTTGAATAATGTTAAAAGAAAACCACCAAACAGTGAAGGAATTATGTATCCTTACAACGACAAAGATGAGTATAGTTTTGACGAAAACTATGAATTTGATGATTTCGATTATCTTTCTAATCAAGAAGAGAATGAAGATTGTTTTAAATGAAGTTGAATGACAATTTCTTCGTTGCCAAAGTCTATGAACCTGTTTTTACCGTCTTTGATTTCCAGATTTATATCTTTGATCATGAAAGAATTAACTGGTAAATAGGTTGTTTGAAACGGTTTCTCTATAATTCTGTATCCGATCGGCACCGTAAAAGTCGGTATGCTGTATATGATTTGGCGTTTGTGCTTGTTGAAAAATCCACCGTTGATCAAATTACAGTGAATGTTGATCACGTCGATATCGTTCTCGATGTTGGCCTTGTGCGGCGCCAATGTCGATTGCGCGTATATTCGTTTATCGAACCCTAGTAACGCATTCAACGAATTTTCTACGTTGAAATCGACTTGACTGTTATTTCTCAAGATCAGTTTTATTTTGTTCAGATTCAGATTACCTTCGAATTCGATATTGTTTTTGCCGTTCACGCTTCCTGCGTATTCGGATAGGTATTCGTTGATGGCTACGTATTCGTAGCTCCCCGGTAGTAAGCTTATGGTTTCGAACGTAACTCCGTTATCCGTCGATATTTTTAGTTGATTGTTTTTTTCGTTGATGTTTCTAATGGAATTGTAAACGGAGAAATACTTAAATCCCAGTTCGTACTGTTTATTGCGATCGAGTTCATACTCGTAGTCTAGAGACAATTTGATGTCTGGTTTATTCGAGGTGATAACGAACAATTGTTCTTTATTGGACATTTTTAATGACGTTTATATAGTCTTTTTAGTGATGATTTTTTTCTCCAAAAGCCGTTTTAATATGGCATTGACTTCGTTGTATTGTCTGTCCGATCGATGACCTTCCTTCATGGCCGCTAATATTATTTCTAATCTATTAAGCAATTCTTTATTGTCGTCGGATAAAAACGTTATACCTTGTCCAGATGCCACCATATCATCGAATTCGTCTATTTCTTGTATGATTGGTGGATAATCTTCTGCATAATCATCTACCTCCTCTTCCTCAATAACTTTTGTTATATAAAAATCAACTTCTTTCAATCTTCTTGTTTCGGGTCCTGACTTTCTGATCGCATGTAGAAATTTTGAGTATGCAACTAAATCCTTGTAATCGGCAATTTCAACATCCTTGCCATTCATTAAATCTATTAACCCTCTCGTTAATGTAAATATAAAGTCTTTTGTGTCGATTTTGAATAAAGGGGAATTTGGACTAAATATTATTCTAAATCCATTAAACAATAAACCTTGATTATCAACGATTGGTGAAATACTCTTTGGTAAATCTGGGTCAGGGTTTGAAAAAAGACGATTTATATCATCTAATGTCCTAATTATAATACCATTATATTCAATCGTTTA